TCAGTTGCTCCAAAAGAAGCTCCAAAAGAAGAGAACACCGGGAGGGATAAATTTAAAGCCAACCTACGTAGAGGTTCTTCTAACAGTCTCTTTCTTTGATTTGCAAATAGCGTGCATGTTAAGAGGAAATGATGCAAAGATTCACTCTCGTTGCAGCGGAGGCATAAGGATGACTGTACGAGACATGACCTGTGTAGGTGAAATTTCAGTGGCGGGACTCGGTGTCGTAGTTTCGCTATTGATATTTTCGCCCTTATAGAGGAGCATCATCGATTTTTCCGAGAGTAATTTAGATGAGAAAACTCAGATGCTGCCAAGCGAGACTTTTCAAAGCTCTCCGATGTGGCGAAATTTTCAAATCGTGCCACGTTGATAAATGTAGCGTCGGCAACATAGAAATAATGGGACCATGTTGTGAGGTCGCTGCAAGTGCATCTGTGTATGTATTCTTTAGAGCACGCCATTAAAATTTACTATTTTGTTAACATTTTCTTGCTGGTTGAAAAGAATGTTACTAGAACTGCATGAAACAACTGTTTTTAATGCTTCATGTTTTTAGCGCGCAAATTGAAATTGTGCATATAATTCATAATTGTTTGGGTTTATTATACCAAAACCGGCACATGGTTATGAGATCTAGACACCGTATAGAGGAGGAATCTGCAAGATCATGCATCTGGGGTTCCTTAACGTGTACCAAAATCCAACTGTACACGGGCTTCAAGCACCTTCGCCAATATCGAAAATGCGGCAGCGGCGGTGGGGGATTCGATCCCACGACCTGCGAGTCAGCAGTCGACGAAATTGTGTTTAGCCATTCGCAGTCGCTTGGTACCTTGACCATTGAAACATCTCATTTCAGCACTGTCTGGTGTATTAATGATGTTTTCGTAAAGGGGTGTTGCCATCAAATTTCGAGGACGTAACAAGCCTCCTGCGGGTTTCCTCATTATGCAAAGACAGTCCACATGAAGGGACGGACACAGCAAACGTTTAGAACATCGTTTAATAGAACTCTCCCTGAGTACGTTAGAGCATGAAGTCAACGGTGCACGTGTAAGGCGGTGGTTGTCGAAACAACCCCGCTGGTGGCTCAGCATGGTGCGGTTGTGTGATACTTGGGTCAAGCTTTTTCTCTTTTTTTATGATGCTTAAACTTCAGATAGCTGTTGTAAGATTAGCTGCGGTATGTGTCAGACTTGGTGTGCGGTAAATTGCGTCATCAAAAGCTTACCACGGTGGCTGGCTGTTCATCTAGGAAAAGTGAATACACGTGACGGCATGTGCGAGAAACAGAAGCAACGTCTTCAAAAAATGTGTTTATTAGAGAGTTGTAGTTTACCGGGCGTACCGTGATACTGCCATGGGTGTACGGACGGTGAAACTGTTAATATTGTGCGTGGTGCGAGCTGCGTGAATAACGATGCATCAATCATTGCGAAAACACTGAAACGTATTGTGGGTCAGTGGCAGTGATCGGTTGTCGACAGAATATCATGATTCGACATTTTAGTCAAGGTAAAAGTGGATTTGACGCGTTCATCTGCGAGTGCGTGCATCTAAGCGTTTGATTTGATTGATATGTGGGTTTAACGTCCCAAAACCACCGTATGATTATGAGAGACGCCGTGGTGGAGGGCTACGGAAATTTCGTCTACCCATGGGGTTCTTCAACGTGCACCCACATCTGAGCACACGGGCCTACAACATTTCCGCCTCCATCGGAAATGCAGCCGCCGCAGCCGGGATTCGATCCCGCGACCGAGTAATAAGCGACCAGATTCGGGAACGTGCTTGTTCGTAAGAGGCGCTATATGCCGTCTGCTCGCTTTGCGAGGTGTGTGCCGGTTGAAAGCGGACCCTTTTCTAGTGTGTAATGTTTTGTAATTACCTCTTAACTAACCACGCGGTCTCCATGCGTCCCCGGACTTGACGCTGCACCTTAATTTTCGGTCGGTCACTTCTCCAGCCAGGCCCTCCCTTACCAGGAACAAAATCAGGAATTTTTTCGGGGGGGGGGGGGGGGGGGGCACGTCTTTGATTCCAGCTGTGGGGAGCTGTGCGCAATTTTCTCTCCTAAGTGTTTCCGTTCTGGCATGCCCGGAATAGGACCTTCAGCCACGGGTCTATAGTATATAGCGCAACTCTGCCACTGCTACGGTAAATAACAATATAGTGAGGCATTCATATACAAGCAGCAATGAAATTTGACAACGTGTAGTGACAAGTCACCTCGTTAAGTTAAAACATCATATCACCGTGTCGGAGTAGGCTGATCACCGACAAGCCCACGATTGGGAGATAACTATTAGTTGAAAAACGGCGCATACAAACCTGCATTGGACCGGGGCACCATTTAGGGCCGGATTTCTTAGTGTTCGAAGACGCACGCGGTTCTGTTCAAGATATTCTTGTTAGGTCTAAGAGACTGGCTCCTTAGGTTGGAGAGCGGGACGGCACATAGCTCTCCCATAGTAGAGCATCTAGTGCTCTAAATTGTTAACTACTCTTTCTAAACACACAGAGCGGACGTGCTCTTTCTTCGGAGCTCCTGTGTTTGCGGGAGACGCGCCGCGGCGTCTCGTGCAACGCTCTCTGTTTCTTCGCCTACATCATGTGCATTTTAGGGGCGAAGCTCCTTATAGCGGCACCCGTTCGTCCCTCGTAGTCGTAGTAGTAGCATGGTAGTAGTGTGTAACAAGTATAACATTTTGACCTCCAAGATGGTGCCGGTGGAAGATTTCTTCTGTGCGTTGTTGAACAACAAAAAATACTGCTCAATGTACATGCCAATGGCTGCTAAGCGGGAATGAGAGACAGGAGAATTCGGCTTTTAGTTAATGCGCACGCTGCGAATTTTTTATTGTTCAACAACGCACAGAAGACAAGAAAGGGTTGCTACGTTATACCACAGTCCCTTAATAACCTCCTTGGTTTTAGAAAGGTCTAGCGAGCGTTGGGCCGCAGTGCCATAAATACAGTGATATCTATCCGTCTATCCGTCTGTCCGTCTATCTATCTATCTATCTATCTGTCCGTCTATCTATCTATCTATCTGTCCGTCTATCTATCCGTCTATCTATCTGTCCGTCTATCTATCCGTCTATCTATCTGTCCGTCTATCTATCCGTCTATCTATCTGTCCGTCTATCTATCTGTCCGTCTATCTATCTGTCCGTCTATCTATCTGTCCGTCTATCTATCTATCTATCTATCTATCTATCTATCTATCTATCTATCTATCTATCTATCTGTCTGTCTGTCTGTCTGTCTGTCTGTCTGTCTGTCTGTCTGTCTGTCTGTCTGTCTGTCTGTCTGTCTGTCTGTCTGTCTGTCTGTCTGTCTGTCTGTCTGTCTGTCTGTCTGTCTGTCTGGCTACCTACGACGTTTAGCACTCCTAGCCGTTTCGATAAAGGTATCGATACCAAACTTGGTATGGTATAACATGACTGTATGAAGAACATATCTGACTAGTCATAACTTGAAAATCATGACATGAATGTCATGATTTACATTTCATGGCTTTGCAGCTGTTGCGGTGGTTTCGTTCACATGGCGTGTTGCATAACTGGTATGGTATGACATGATTGCATGGCGAATGCAAGCGATAGATCCTAACATGAAAATCATGACATGCGTGTCTTGTAACAAATTGACTACATGCCAAGCTCGTGATGCACTCGCGGGCGTTTCGCTAGCGTCACATATACCAAATTTGGCATTACGGGGCGTGAATGGATGATGAAGGTATGTGACTAATGCAAACATGATAATCATGAGATGCGTGTCATGTGAGAACATGACTACATGCAACAGTCGAGACGCCAATACATTTCGACGTGACGCAATGCGCGTGCTCGCCGGCGTTCATTTCGTCGCGTCACGCCGGCATTGCAACGCCAGGCGCCAGTCCTGCCATATACTCGCAGGCAACGTTACTCCATCCAGTAACGTTGCTCGCAGGCGAGCGCCGCGCTGCGTGGCTTTGACGCATGCGCGTTTCAGCGCGTCCGGCATCCCTCTGTCACAAAAAGAGGGAGACGCAGTGTTGTCTGGGTAACGCATCGGCACAAAATGCAGCATGTCGCTTTTCGCGCCAGTTGCCGTCAGGACGCGCCGACGGACGCTAGTCGCGCCGGTCGCGCAAGGTGTCAGACTATAGTGTGCTCGCGTTTTGCTAACTATATAGCATCGCTGTGCCCAGCGTGAACGCGTGTCAATGCTACAGAGGAGTGTATGGGGCCTTCACAATGCACTCGTGGCCGTTTTGCTAGCTCCGCATATACCAAAGTTGGTGTTACGTTACGTCAATGGATGACGAAATATATGATTGGTGCAAACATGGTAGTCCTGACACGCGTATCATACAATATACCACGCTCATAGCGTGCTCGCAGTCGTTTTGCTAGCTCCACATATGCTAAATTTAGTATCACGTGCCGGTAATAGATTGCGAAGGTAAACGACACATCCAAACATGATAATCATGACCGGAGTCATGTAGGACATCATTTACCTCCACCACGTAACGTTGCGCCGATTTTAAAGTGGCATATCAACCTTTCTTATTCGTGTTTTGCATGCCACCGATTCCCGCTGTACGTGGGATCTGCCATTTTTTTTTCTGAGGAAGCACTTGATTGACATCAGGGTTTTCATCAGGAGAGGACAACGGTCCTTTGCGCAACTCTTATATTGCATTACAACAATTCTTGCTTTGCCCTTGCCTCATGCATGCAGGCGAATGTGGTAGTACGAATGCAGGCGGCATAGCGCCGTGTCTTAATGCGCGAATGACGCTACACGACGGCAAAACACGTGTCAGTAAGCCATATGTATTTACTCTTGTATATCGTCGCCGTTTATCTCGTATAATACGTAACACATTCTGTCTGCTGGAGTGTATCTCGTCCTGCTATTCATGCTCTTATAATTTTTTAGGGAAGAGAGAAAGAAATAAATATCGTCACACATATAAGCAGTCGCACTCGGCACCGACGCACAACACGCAATACCACGGCCATGGGAACAGCCGTCGATTTGGTTAGTGGAATGGCCGACGTCGTGACCATCCTAACTCTTTTCGTCAGCCTGTCCATGGCCTGGCGTGTCTGGCGCGCCCGCAGCTCGTCGGGCGTCGAGTTCCTGCCCGTGGCCGCGACCGCCGTGTGCCTGCACGCCTACGTACTGTACGGCATCGCCACCTGCGACTCGCACATCACATGGGTCAACTCGCTCGGTTTCGCCCTGATGGTCTTCAACTCCGCCGTGCACCGCACCTTCTCTACCCGGACGGGGCCCGGCGTGGCCCTGGCGCTGATCCTCGTGGTCGTTAGGGTTGCGTCTCTGCCGCTGTCCGCATCACAGTTGGGTACCATAGGGGTCGTCTGCGCGGCGCTCGACAACTTGACGCCGGTCTGCCGCATCGTGAAGAAGAAACCCTTGCCAGAGGTCGCCTCCGCGACACTGCTCACTTGCTCACTGTGGGAAACGTACGGCGTGCTCGTCGGGAGCGGGTCGCTGATGGCGAGCAACGGGATCGGCGCTTCCGTCGCCCTTGTGGAACTTGCCGCGGCTCTCTGGGTGCGGTGTCGACGCACTGTCTATGTGGCCATCGAAACGACGTCATAAGTGTACTTGAGGTAAGTGCGTGTGCGGGCGCGCAGCTCGTGCGCAGTCGCCATGCTATCTTGGCTGTTTCATAAATGCTACACTATGTGATTGTAATTATGACGCGACATGGCCAATTGTTCAGAATGGGTCCGATACATGGGAGGTAGTGAAACACCATGTTTACGCGCAGAAAGCTTAGTAAGCCGACTGACGAGAACGTCTTTCGCCTTCGAGTCCTAGTAGGCTAATACAATAAGGACCGTACCAGTTTCTTCTTCTTCTATCCGTACGTCTACCGCAGACGGCACGGTGTTCTCAGAGCTGTCATTCGGGCTCAAGAGTAATGCATACAGTGGCCCTGTCTTCATCGTACTCCGGACCTCTTTTCACAACCAGTCCACATTAAAAAACAAGCGATTTTCACTAACCAAATCTAATTCAGACATGTCATCTGGTGAACGATCGGTAACCCAGACCTTGAGAGCAGAGTCCACGCCAGGGGGTGGGGGTGGGGGTGGAGCGGCTAGAGACATTTTTTGCCCCCCCCCCCCAAAAAAAAAATGAAACCTGTAGTAAAAACACAACGCATAACTCTTCCACCTCTGTGTCCTCCTGACAGAACTCGCTTGTCGTCAATTCAACAACCCCCGGTAAGAAAATCCTAGCGCCGCTTCTGCATGACAGGTGTTTTGGGAGGGTGTCGATGGACGCCTATGTTAATCTACGCTCTTTGTTTCACCTTCCTCTTTGTTTCAGGCCCGAACCAGGATCCACCGAAGACCCCGGTAAAGCATTCCCGGTCTTGCAGCACCCAATGGTGGCGTGCCTTCCTTGTCGGGCTGTACTTCCGACGAAGCGCACGCTTTCGCTGATCAACTTCACCCGCTGCATGCTCCCTTCCCTGAAAAGTTCCCGCAAGAATATAGTGTGCTACTTATATTTTTTTTCTTAAGCTACAGAATTATGTGTACATCACTTTTACTTGATTGGCTCCCTCCTCGATCGCTATAAGTACTAGTTATATCTCTCGGAACCTTATATAATAAAACAACTCGGATTACATCCTTCATTTCCGAACTAAACTCCACAATCACCTATCGAAATAATATTACAGCTTTGGTTCAACTCGCCATACGTTGCCGCGCCAGCACCTCTGTTACCCTTGTCCATGTCTGATATGAATGGACCGGTTCATAATCATTACTTCACGTGCAACTCGGTAACACTTCCTGACTATTGTAGTGTTTTATCGGTGTTTTTAATGAATATAAACGTTTTTTAGTTGGAAGCTTTTGATGAGTCGTCTTTGTATACATCAAGCGTAATTCTGCAGCCTTAGACGAGGGTTTGTGAAGAGGCCGCCATGTGATGCGCAAGTCGGACACTCCATTTCTGATGGCATTTCGATGACTCAGAAATGCAGCACAACTGCTCCTTTAACTTTACGTTGAAGGACTGCTATAGTATATAACAGCCTCTGGAAATACAAAAAAAGAACGTGTTCTTTCCTAGCGTTTATCGTCTTTTAATTACACTTCGTGATGACATAAGTGCAATTCACGTGGCCTAATTTAAAGGTATACACGAACGGTCCATTGCTCCACGTACGAGCAGTGTCATTGTGTATTGTCTCCTATCCTGCTTTTTATTGCGATAGCAATTGTATCGACACTCTCGGCTGGATTTCGCCGTCAGCTTCGGTGTCATGCACCGTATATGTATACGTATGTATACATATGGAAACGGAAGAAAAAAATATCTCCCCCCCCCAAAAAAAAAAAAATAGACTCCACCGCGTGGAATCGAACGTGGGACCTCCGCGTCGTGTATGTCGGGCATTAACTACAGCGCCACCGAGAGATACCTCCTCCAGTGTTCACACTGGCAAGCTATCCATTTCTACACTTACTGTTGTTGGCGGGTATCTTGGGAGGGGGTGGGAAAGGGACTATGGTGTTTTCAGAATTATCAGCAAGATGGCGCCGTGAGCGCGTGGCGGCTCCCATCTCTCACGCTGTCACAGAACGAGCGCTCAAAATGGGCGCGCCGCCAAATTCTTGCGATAACGCGCCGGAGTGACGCCGCGAGGTCAACGAAAAAAAAGAAGAAAACAAACATCGAAAGGCTCCCCGGGCGCGCGAAACGCTCTCCCCTCGGAAGCGTGGCTTCGCCGATGAACCTCCTCGCCCCACAGCGGCGGCCGGGCAAGCACTGGAAAGATCTAGAAGGAAAGGGGCGTGTTCTGCCGGGTTGAGTCATCTGTCGGGGACGGCCCTCGTACCGTCCCGCGCCTCTCCCCAGCCTTCGCTGTGTATCGCGCCGACGAAATGACGAGAACTTTCTGGAATGTCGCGCGGAAGGTATTTAACCGAGCAGCGGAGATGAGAGATCAGGAGAGGACGGAAGTTAGCGCAAGAGCGCGTAGGTATACCGCCGTGTAGTCGGCGAAGGTTTTGTCCGTGGAGACAAAGCAGGAGAAGAAGAGGATTTCCACCTGAGGGGTGAAGGCTCGAGCTACAGGCAAGAGCGTGTGTTTACCGCTATCGAGCGAAGACGCGTGGCAACAGCTGCGTGTGGGAAGCCGACGTGTTTCCGGCGAAGAAGTTGAAGCTTGGAGAGTGGCCTATTGAAGACGGTGAGGTTTCCTGGAAGAGAAACTTCGGCGAGGTTTCCTGGAAGAGAAACTTCGGGGGCTGCGGAACGACAACAACGCTGGACTTTGAGTGAGTGATTCTCGGAAGAGTATCATCTAGACTTTGTTTCCAAGAACTTTGGACTCAATAGGTTTTCTATCTCTTTAGTCTTTAAGTGTCTTGGTTGTTAAATGCATGCGACTGCATTGTAGTGTGTATTGTTGTCTGTGTCCGTTGTTTTGAGTGTGGCTGATTGTACTGTGTAGTACGTTGGTTGATTGGTGACATATTGTACTCAACTGTTGTGGAGTGTGGCATACTCGTGTATTGTTTTCGATCTGCATTATTGAGATATAATTTGTTTGTTTATCAACTCTCGGCTCTGACTTGTTCTTTGGGCCACAGCCGGGCGTCTGCTGGCGCACCAATAAGGACCACTTCTAAATTGTTCCATGCTTTCGTGGGGCGGTTCGCGGGGGCCGATACTTCGGCTCTTGGAATTAGCCCGGCGTCGCTTCCTAATTAACGGGACCGGTGTGACAATTAATCTGGCGTCCGCGACACAGGACCTTTTGGTGCACAGTGTGTCCAAAGTAGTGAGAAAGAGCCTGGAGTGTTGAAAGTGCTATCGGAACGATTTTGTGTGTTGTTCAGTGTTCTCGTTAACGAGTGCAGGGGAGTGTTCCGATCAAGGAGGTTTAAAAAAAACTTCTGGAGTGGAAGCGCCTGCCCTCTGGTGACGCCGACGGCCGCCATGTTGCTCCAGGCAAAAAACGTGCCGTCGGTCGTTTGGGCCCCCGCCGTTCGCGCCACTGAACAACAGTTGTCGCGTTTGTCCCTCGTTCTTTTGTTCTGTGCGGATTTTGTGCAGTTCTAAAGGAAGTTGACACGATTCCGGACGTTATGGTGAGCTCGTGTGTCGCCTTCGGCTGCACTAATCGTGCGAAGCAGAAGCCAGGAATCACTTTTCACTTGTAAGTACGCGGGAAAAAGCGCTTTCAATCGCTTGTCTCCTTCGGCGCGCTACCTCATTCGAGAAGCGCGGTTTCAGCTGAAAACTTACTTTCATTAGCATTTTTCAGCTGGCGAGTAGAAGTTGAAAAACCTATTTTGTGCGTGTGGTACCGCAGGTTTCCGAAAGACAAGACGCTGCGTGACGCATGGCAGCGTGCTGTTCGGAGGGATGGCTGGGAGCCTAAAAGAATGCGGACGTTCTCTGCTCGGAGCACTTTGAAGCAGACTGCTTTGACAGGACGGGCCAAACGACCAGACTGCGACCAGGGAGCATTCCTACCATTTTTCCTGCGTTCCCTGCGCATCTCCAGAAACCAGTGAGTACCATCACGAATGTACATTTTCGTTACGGTAAATAGGCTATAGATTTCCGAATGTGTAGGCACAGTTCTCGTTTCCTACGTGCTGTTCAAAATCACACCACTCTCTGACAAAGCGCACGTCACGTACACTTACTTGTCCAACTTTTTTTTTTCACTGTGCGTGCATAAATACGGGCACGCTAAACTTCCGCACAGAAACTATAAAAAGATCCCCGAGGTAGTAATCCCGTTTCTAGTCAGTCTAAGCAGTGGGTGGGACCATTATACCCGGCTTCTGAACTTTGGAGCATAACTGATTTTTTTTCTTGCAGGCGAAAGAAAGCGAGAGGCCCCTAAGTGTCGGACTGCGCTGTCACCTGTCGTCAGTGCTGAGGCAGCGGTTGAAATGCCATCTGAGCCTTCTTCGCCGGCGAAGGATTGGTACCGTTCCAAGGCAGAGGAGTCTGCACAAGAGGTTCTCCAACTAAAGAAGAAAGTTAAGACACTGCAGCAATCCAAAAGAAGGCTAAGCAAGCGGTGTGATGCGTCAGAAAATTATCAAGGAGCTAAAAGAGAGGAAACTTTTGTCAGAAAAAGGCCTTGAGGTCTTTGAAGCAACTTTCTCGCCTGAAATTCAACAGCTTCTTGTCCGAGCCCATGGCGCCATCGAAAGACGTCTTGAAGATCTGCCACACTGTGGAGAAAGGGCTTCGTGCCCTACAGGTTCAATGTAAGGACCTAAAATCGTTGCATGCAAACAGTGATCGCCTCATGGTAGAGGTGTTAACGGAGGTGTTTGAACAAGCATTATTTTCCGAGTTAGAGCCTCATCTGTTGGACTGCGATCCACTCGACAATCACATCTACGTTTTGGCGAAAAAGATTGCCAACCTGTATATAACAATCAGGCTTCACCACATTTCCAAAGAAATCAACCGCAAGAACTCGCGCAGTGGGGTACGAACCCAGCTGACAAGGACTATTATATTTAAAAATCTGTAAGGTACAGATGAGAACCAGCGTTGAACAAAGCGGAGCAGCTGGTATATTCTATATTTTTGCAATTTTAGTGTATTGTTATAGAGTTGCCTGATATAACCTGCGTTTTTGGAAGCGCATGCGTGATCTCGTTATATCTTGTCATGTCTATCTTTTTTGTTTTTTGTGATATATTTTCCTTTCGTAAAGGTCGGTTGACAGTCAGCGCTTGTTAATGCCGCTTCTTTTGTGCCCTCGTGTAGAATATCACGCTGTTCCTATTTTATAATGCAAAACCAGCTAGCCCAGAGCTTCACTAACGTATCAGCAGTGGCGTACCAACTCTTTCGCAAGTGGCGGGGCAAAACTATCAATATATATATATATATATATATATATATATATATAATATATATATATATATATATATATATACTTCACAATTACCTTACAATTCGGTATAATAACTTCCCCTACACTATCCTTGGCATCTTTGTTGTTAGATCTCATTAAGATTGTGTCAAAACACGGAAACGCGAGCCTTTAAGTATACACTTCCTTCATATATATATATATATATATATATATATATATATATATAATATATATATATATTATATATATTTAAACTGTCAACCCTCACTTGAGGGTCATTACAGGGAGGGAAGCATAGGATATGGAAAGTAAATACAGACATTGATATTTTCAGCAACTTTGAACAATAACACAATAGCATATTCATTGCTCGGCAAAGTAAACATCAAGAGCACATTCAAATTTTTGAACGTCAGAATTTTCAACAATATGTCGCGGCAATTTGTTCCACGCTTCTATAACATCAGGGAAAAAAGATTTGCGAAAGACGTCCGTGCGAGCACCGAAGGGGCGAACTGCCGCGTCATGATTGATCCGGCTGCTGAGCTTATGCGGGGGGTGTACGTAAATTGTTCTATCTATTTTTATTTGACCATGCAATATCTGAAAAAATACTTTTAGGCGCTGCTTTTGTCGTCTAATTTCTAGAGATTCCAAACCACTTAGTTTTAACATTTCGGTAACCGAATCAGTCCTTTTATACTTCGAACATATAAATCGCGCGGAAAGTCTCTGAATTCGTTCCAGTTTATCTATTAAATCCTTTTGGTGGGGGCTCCAGGCAACACAAGCATATTCTAAAACAGGGCGCACAAATGTTTTATATGCAAGCAGCTTGACGTCTTTCGTAGCATTCGGTAATTTAGCACGCAAGAAACGCAGTTTTCTGTAAGAGGCACAGCATACATTCTCGACATGTGCACGCCATTTCAAATCATTCGTAATATGCACTCCCAAATATTTAAATGCACACACCTGCGGTAAATAGTTAGGTCCAATGCTGTACGTAAATGGTAAAACGTGTTTCTTGGTAGTTATATGCGTATATGTTGTCTTAGAATAATTTATTTTCATCTCCCATTTATCGCACCATGTTTCAAAATCATCAAGACAATCATTAATTACAATTTGGTCATTCACACACGTCACTGGGGCATAGATTAAACAATCATCAGCAAACAATTTAGTTTTTACAGGAGGGTTAACAATGTCAACAACATCATTTATATACACCAAAACAGCAATGGGCCCAACACGGAGCCTTGGGGCACACCGGAATAAACATCAAGTGATTCAGACTCAAACCCATCAATTCGTACCAACTGCTTGCGGTTCGTTAAGTATGCCTCAATCCACTTCAGGACATTTTCGTTTACGCCTGTTCGTTTGAGCTTGAAGAGCAATTTATGGTGGGAGACCTTATCGAAGGCTTTTGCAAAGTCTATGCATATCACGTCGACTTGTTCTCTGTTATCTACGGCAGCGGCAAAATCGTGGAGAGTTTCAATCAGTTGGGATAACGTGGAAAGCCCTTGCCTAAACCCGTGCTGTTGCCTACATATCAGCCCATTTGTCTCCAAGAAAATAGCCATCTGTTTGGCAATGACATGTTCAAAAACCTTACAGCAAACACACGTCAGAGACACTGGCCTGTAGTTGGTAAAAAGCATCCTGTCGCCACTTTTAAATACCGGTTTCACAATGGCGCTCAGCCAGTCTTTTGGAAGCGAATGTGTCAAGAGTGATTTTTCGAAGATAATGACTAAGTAAAACGACATCCACTCCGCATACCGCCTCAAAAACACAGTTGGTATTCCATCCGGTCCATTAGCCTTCTTTTCGTTCAAATTAAGTAGCTGCTGAAACACGCCCGCTTGATCAAATGAAACTGGATCCATGGCGCATGTGCAAGTATCAGCCGTTTCCTTATCTTCATCCGTGAATGCCATCTTTGTAAATACAGATTGGAAAAAGCGATTGAAACCATTAGCTATATCTGTTTCTGGTTACAACATCAGAGCCAACCGCGATATGTTCAATCGCTTCTTTGCGATCGCTCAAGTATAGCCAAAATTTTCTAGGCGAAGTGCGCAAGAACCCAGAAAGCGTTTCATTGAAGAACTTTTTTTGGACTTGGAGATTTGGATTTTCAACGCTGCTCGTAGTTGGGAAATCTGCTCAGAGTGGCCTTGTCTTTTGCGTAATCTCTTTATTTTGCGTTTAGTGTGGATAACATCTCTAGTGATCCAGGGGTTAGTCTTCCTTGTTTTTTCAATCGAATGGGAACAAACCTTTCTATACAGCTGTTGATTATTGATTTCAATTTCTGCCACAAACAATCAACTGACTCGCTATCAGAGGCTTGCTTGAAATCATCAAAAGCAGTTTCCAAAAAGTCTAATATGGACGTGTCATCTGCCCGGCCGTAGTCACTAACAGGCACCCGAACGAAGGGTCGTTTTCCAGGTTTTGTACCACATAGAATCTCAACCGAAATCAGTTTGTGGTCAGATATGCCATCTTCGACCGTAACACTGAAGTCCTCCATAGTGCCCGAAAGGAATACCAGGTCTAGCAGTGACTGAGAACCCGATGTTACTCTAGTGGCCTGTTGAACAATTTGGGTTAGGTTATGGCTGATCATTATTTCAAATAACTTTTCGCTGCTAGTAGCATCCTTATTACCGGCCGATAAAGAAATCCAGTCTATTTTGGTAGGTTAAAGTCTCCGGCCAGGACTAATTTTGTTGTCTTATTTACATTTGAGTTCAAAAACGTCTGAAGGTCTTCCAGGAACTCGGGCGAAGTGGCAGGTGGTCTGTATACGGCTCCGATAAGGTAATTGGTGTTCGCGTACGTAAATTTACACCATACAGATTCCGATAAATTGCAATTAATTGGAACTGCTGAGATACATTTTTTATGACAATTGCAACGCCCCCACCACGGGAATTTCGGTCCCAGCGAAACACTCTGTACCCAGGAGGAACAACCACATCATTCGGAATATCGTTGTTTAGCCAAGTCTCTGTTACGATCACCACAGAGGGAGATCTCGACAGCAATAAATGTTCGAGTTCAGTTACTTATTAACAAGACTACGAGCATTGAACAGGAGAAGCACTAGCTACGCATGTGACGGTGCAGCCACTGCCCCTCCCACCGGGGCGCCGCCAAGCTATCAGAGTTGCGCGTTGCTGCTGGCGATCCTTTAGCATACCGCTCCTTACGACATGGTTGGCGTTCATCTCGGTTGTAGTCCCAAGTAAATAAGCTTTCGCCTACCTTCAATTTGTCATAAACTAGCGATACCTTCTTTCCGCTGCCCCTGTCCGCAGCTGCGCTGTCCCACAACTTTTTCCGCACCGCAACCGTCTCCTTCGAATAATCATTGCTCACGCTAATAGAAGTTCCCTTTAGTTTGCTGCAGTTTCGGAGTATAGCATCTTTTTCTTTAAAATCGTAGAACCTCATTATGACTGGTCTAATATGCCCCGGCCGTTGCTTGCCCAATCTATGAATTCTTTCTATTGTTTTAACATGGACGTTCAGTTTTTTGCCAAATATATTGTCGACTACAGAAACTTTCAGGTCTGACTCCGATTCCGGGCTGCCTTCCTTTACGCCAAAAACCAAGAGGTTATTGCGTCTACTTCTGTTTTCAAGTTCCCTTAGCCTTTCTGCCGAGTTTTACAGTATGTTCCAGAACTTCAATTTTTGCGTTCAGTTCTTGGACTGAAGCAACTAAGCCAGCCAATCCATCGGTATTTGTCTGTATCTGGGCTAATTGATCAAGAATGCCAGTCAACCGACGGTCAAATGCTGCCTGATTTTCCAAAATAGTCTGTAGCTGCTGGGCCGTAGTAGGGCCGGGGTTTTCTTCGACATCCCCCGCCATCAACAACCGCAGCAACACAGACCAGCAATCAACAAGAATCAAGGAACATCTATGAGGGCACGGCAGGACAATCAAAAATCTATTATCACTACGGTAAGTGACAACAGTAGTTTGAAAACCAACCTGGAAGACGAACGGCGGCAGTTTAGGCATTTCGTTCGCATGGACGTTGCCGTGCCCTCTGAGGAGTTGCTTGATATGCTGCTCTTTAAGTAGCTGCGCTGCCGGTGACGTCACTGAGGCCGATGCTCCGTTGATCCACGGCGCATCTTCCAAAACCAGGCTGAGATGAGGAAGCAGGAAAGGCGTCCCATCAGATCCGCTTGTCGCGATCGCTGTCAAAATCCACGGCACAACCTGGAAGACGAACGGCGGCAGTTTAGGCATTTCGTTCGCATGGACGTTGCCGTGCCCTCTGAGGAGTTGCTTGATGTGCTGCTCTTTAAGTAGCTGCGCTGCCGGTGACGTCACTGAGGCCGATGCTCCGTTGATCCACGGCGCATCTTCCAAAACCAGGCTGAGATGAGGAAGCAGGAAAGGCGTCCCATCAGATCCGCTTGTCGCGATCGCTGTCAAAATCCACGGCACAACCTGAAAGACGAACGGCGGCAGTTTAGGCATTTCGTTCGCATGGACGTTGCCGTGCCCTCTGAGCCTACGATGCTCTACACACACACACACACACACACACACCACACACCACACACATATATATATATATATATATATATATATATATATATATAATATATATATATATATATATATATATATGAAATAGTTTATCAGAGTTTCCTCCGGCTACTGTAATAAAAGTTACGAACTTCGAGAATAGTGCAATATAGAAAACAAAACAATAAAATATTTATTTATTCCTAACAGTTTCGGCTGGTTGACCAGCCTTCTTCGGAGGATATATATATATATATATATATATATATATATATAATATATATAGGAAAGAAGTGTATACTTAAGGGCTCGTTTTTCCGTGTTTTACACAATATTATTGAGATCTAACAGACATTATTAGCCAAGGAAGGTATAGTTATTAGGCCGAATTGTAATGTAACAAAGAAGAAAAGTGGGTGAAAAGATAACTTGCCGTGGGCAGGATCCGAACCTGCAACCTTCGAATGACGCGTTCGATGCTCTACCACTTGAGCTACCACGACAGCCATCCCCCCAGCCACTTTATTGGGTTTATATGTGAATTTAACGTGGGAGTGTCAGTCAGCGCCACCAGTAGCCTTGGCGGCGAGTGTGGCACACTCTTTTGAGCCTGTTTGGCGTCACGTAACACGTGAACTTATTACGAGTGGGCAGCTGGCCAGTAGTCCTCGTATACAGCCTAAAGGCACTAAGTCTGCCAGTACGAGACCCTCGTTAATGAATTAAGGAAAGAACTGTATACTTAAGGGCTCGTTTTTCCGTGTTTTACACAATATTATTGATATCTAACAGACAATAATGCCGAGGAAGGTATAGGGGAAGTTATTAGACCGAATTGTAATGTAACAAAGAAGAAAAGTGGATGAAAAGATATATATATATATATATATATCTTGAAATACAACGGTGCAGCTGACGCTTTATTGAAGCAACAGCAAGATGGCGCCGATCATGAAGAGGAACGGGCCGAAGACTGATGATGGTTATTGATAGATGAGGAAGATGACGTACAATGAATTCTCACACTAATTTCCCCCGTCGACGGAAGCGGCCAGCCTGGCCGCGAATTACGCTGTGGAACGCATACAATAGGGCTTGAGACGCGAAACGTGCACAATCTCTGTCCCGTGGCAGCGTTGGTCAGTGGGGACATGAACAGGTGTGACACGGTAGTTCACCGGTGAGGTCTGTTCAATAACTTTGTAAGGGCCAAGATAGCGTGACTCAAACTTTTCGCATAAGCCAGGCGTTCGCGCAGGAGTCCACAGAAGTACATTGTCGCCAGGGCGGTAGAGAACGACGCGGTGAGTGGCATCGTAACGATGTTTGCGATCTTCTTGGCTAGCTTTGGTGTTTACGCGGGCAAGACGACGGCATCGAGCAACGCGGGACAGAAACTGGTCGCAAACGAATGGTGAAGAATTGACGGGGCCAGAAAAGAATGAAACGTCGAGTGGTGATGTCGGTTGGCGTCCGTATACTAGGAAAAATGGAGAATAGCCTGTGGTTCGTTGAACTGACGTATTATATGCATACGTGACAAAGGGTAGTATGGCATCCCAATTGCGATGGTCCGGTCGGATATACATGGACAACATGTCACACAGCGTGCGATGAAATCTTTCCGTTAAGCCATTGGTTTGCGGGTGGTAGCTAGATGTTGTTTATGAACTGTTTTTGATGCTTGAAGAACTTCACTGAGCGTGCTTGAAAGAAATGCCTTTCCCCGGTCGCTCAAAAGGACACGAGGGGCTCCATGACGTAGATAAATAGCATTCAAGAAGAAAGTTGCTACTTCCGAAGCACTTCCTGAAGCGATTGAGGCCGTCTCAGCGTACCGGGTCAAGTGATCAACCGCGGTGACGATCCACCTCTTGCCGTCTGATGTAGTTGGGAGGGGCCCGAAGAGGTCAATTCCGACGACAGAGAACGGCTCTGATGGACAAGGAAGTGGTTGTAGGGTCCCGGCTGGAGCAGTAGTGGGCCGCTTGCGGTGTTGGCAAAGTGCGCACGAGGCAAATATTTAGCTACTGTCGTGGAAAGACCTGGCCAGAAAAATCGACTGCGGATGCGCTCGTATGTTTTGTAGTAACCCAAGTGTCCTGACGTCGGGTCGTCGTGGGAAGCGCGCAGAACTTCAGTGCGTAGTGCGCGTGGTACGACGGGAACCCATCGGTGGCCTTCCGGGTGCAAAATGTATCGATATAGCACATCGTCCTCCAACTTGAATAGTCGGAGTTGTTTCCGGAGCCTGGCATTAGGGGAAGACGAAGCACCGGTAAGCCGACCAATGATGTCAGTGCAATAAGAATCGGCTCGCTGGTGAGTAGCAAGTGCTGACGGACGGGTGGATGAAGGTAGGGAAGAAATGGATGATATCGACGAGGCGTCCTCCGTATAGCCAATTTGACAAGGGGATGTGACGTGCACCGAAAACTGCGGCAAAGGGCATCGTGACAAAGCGTCGGCATCTTGATGTTGTCTTCCAGTCTTGTAGATGACGTCAAAGTCATAAGATTGTAATCGGAGAATCCAGCGGCCAAGTCGTCCAGACAAGTTTTTGATTGTGGACAACCAGCAAAGAGCATGGTGGTCTGTCACAACAGTAAAATGTCGACCATGTAGGTACGGACGAAATTTTTGGATGGACCAGACAACAGCCAAGCACTCTTGTTCGGTTATCGAGTACCTCTTCTCTGCAGTGGTCAGAGTGCGGCTTGCATACGCGACAACTTTCTCGCGAAAGGCATGGTCGCGCTGGAGCAGTACGGCGCCGATTCCTTGTCCACTCGCGTCAGTGTGTAATATCGTAGGTGCCTTGTCATCGAAATAACAAAGCACCGGTGGGGATGTCAGTGCCTGCTTGAGTTCTTGAAATGAGGCTTCGCATTGATCATTCCAATCGAAGGAACCGGTACTAGCAAGGAGCTTGTGGAGAGGAGCGGCAATAGTGGCAAAGTTGCGAATGAAGCGGCGAAAGTACGATGCGAGTCCAAGGAAACTGCGTAGTTCTTTGGAACGAAAGGGTCGCGGAAAGTTGAGGACTGCGGAAATTTTGTCCGGATCGGGCTGGATGCCATCTTTAGTAACGAGATGTCCTAGAACTTTTATAGCTGTGTTGCCAAAATGGCACTTCCTTGTGTTTAGTTGAAGTCCAGCGTTGGAGAGACATGTGAGCACTTGATCTAGGCGTTGCAGATGATCATCAAAAGTGGAAGAAAACACGACGATATCATCGAGGTAGCATAGACAAGTTTTCCACTTGAGGCCACGAAGAACAGTGTCGATCATCCTTTCAAATGTGGCGGGAGCATTACATAGACCGAATGGCATTACGTTAAACTCGTAAAGACCGTCCGGCGTAGAAAAGGCGGTCTTTTCTTTGTCTGCTTCGTCCATTGGTATTTGCCAATACCCGGACCGAAGGTCAAGGGTGGAGAAGTATTGGGCGCCTTGCAATGAGTCAAGTGCATCATCTATACGGGGCATCGGATATACATCCTTTCGGGTAATCTTGTTGAGCGCGCGGTAATCAACACAAAATCGTACCGATCCATCTTCTTTTGTACCAACGCAACGGGTGATGACCATGAACTGGTAGAGGGTCGTATGATGTTCTGTTTAGCATATCGGTCACGTTTCCTCGATGATTTTGCGCTCGGCCAAGGAGACTCGGTAGGGACGACGGCGTACAACAGTCTGACCTTCAGGTGTCGATGCGATGATGCGCAACTGTGGTCTGCCTAGTGCCGAAGCATTGGGTCGAAGGAGGCCTGGTGTTCCTGAGCAAATTCAGCAACGCCTCACGCTGAGAAGGAGAAAGGTCAGGATTTATACCGGGAGAAAGGAGGAGGAAGTAGACAGACTGGGCCTGTTGTGGGCTGAGCTGTCAAGCGTCAGAGAGCGACAAGAGAGACAAGAAGAAACCGGTTGGGTATCCACATAACATGACCACTGCAGAACCTGGGGTAGGAGACGGGCTCTGGGGTAGGGTTCAGGCCAATGATTATCGCTGCACTGTTTGACCGCACCAGGCTGAGGGGACTACAACGCCGCGAGCTAGACAGCTGCTGGAAGGGGTGATAAGGACGTCACCATTGGCAATATTCGGAGAAGTGATGGTGATGAGTTGCTCTTGACCCGGGAGCAGTATGGATTCGGAAGCTGTGAAGAAACGCAATGGTTTTCGTCGACGCGTTCGCTGCAGTGATCGGTCTCGGTCATTTCGACTACACGTTGACGGCAAGAAATTAATGCAGATGCTGATGAGAGAAAGTCCCAACCTAAAATTAGTTCATGAGCACATGAAATTAAGACAGCGAAGGTGATGTGATGAAGAATACCATCAATGAAGACACGCGCTGTACATTGGGCCGATGGTCTAATTATTGCTCCATTGGCCCCAATCAAAGATGATCCAAGGTAGGGTGTCTTCACTTTCCGCAATCGAGAACACAAGTCGGCACGCATAACTGAAATAGTTGCTCCCGTGTCCACCAAAGCCAACACCCGCACACCTTCCACAGTTACCAATAACATGTTTGACGGTCGTTCAGGAGGACTTGGGTCATTTCGCCGCGATGCAGTTTTCCCTCCAAAAACTGCACTGTTTAGTTTTCCGATCGCTGGGCAGCCAGTTGAGAGACAGGCCGAAGTGGTGAAACAGAGCGTCGGAGTGGCGAAGGGGAGCGTGGTCGGGATGCACGTGTATTGTTGGTCGTGTTGGAAATGCGCACAGGAGACGGTGATCGGTGGTTGGAAGGACTGTCGGCATAACGGTAGTACCTCGAGCACATGTGTCGTCTCGTTCAAAAGCGGCATAACCACGACGTTCATCTTGCTGCCGACGTCGACAGACCCGGGAAATGTGTCCTCGAATTCCACAGTAGTAGCAAATAGGACGTGGGGCCCGCCAGGAAGAATGGTAGGTATATATATATATATATATATATATATAATATATATATATATATATATATATTATATATATATATATATATATATATAATATATATATATATATATATATTGTGTGTGTGTGCATTAAAAGAGACACAACTTGTTCGGCGCACTCGCACTTTCATGTGATTTTTCATACAACCAGCAATCGTTCAATCGCGCAAACAAAAGGACAGTCAGTTTTAAGCAGCATGCAATGGGACATGGCACATATATGTTTGTCATGCATGTAATAACATTTCAAGCAACACTTTTATGCATCGCGGTTTCCGCACAACTTTCCGAATGAATACAATTAAGTTGATGGCGGCCTCCTCAACAGTGAATATTTTATCATTAAATGAAATATTTAAACGACTAAATACAGCTCGCAAAAAATCAGTGTTTAAATGTGAAAGCAATCCTTGAGGAACCAAAGGTATATTGAGCATCCTTATCTACTTTGTTTTCCACTGAGCTCGAGTCCACTTCTTTATTCGTCGCCACTTTGCAAGCATGCTACCGTCGCTTCAAGTTGCCTTGCTGATCATATTTATCGGAGATTAGCGTGGAAACATTCTTGGCGCTTCTTGTACGGGAAAACTAAAATATTCAGAAAGATTAGTTGCAATCATGTGCTCACAGCAGCTTCAACAGAGCCGTGGTGATGGTAATGCTTTTCGATGAATGAAAAAGGTTTTCGTGAAGCAGCAAATGTTTTGGCTGGTCCATAAAAAGTTTTTTCCGTTTCCATCTATAACTGCATTGGCTAGTTGCAGAAGAATAAAAACATGAACAAGTGATGTAATACTACATGGCCCCTGTTCAGCGATAGCATGCTCTGCAGTGCTGCAGAACAGGACGGAAAGCGTCGCAAAGAGCTTTCAAAAAAATTGTCACTGCTGAAATGTTAGAAAATTATCAATATATTGTAACTTTTCCTCGTAAAATTTTCCTTTTCTCGTACCAAATAATTGAGTGAGAACAGTGGTGAAGGAAAATTTTGCCCTAGTTTTCCCAGCGTGCAGCCGATAGTGACCACTGTCGAAAGTAGGGGGCTCAGCCCCCCCCCAACTGTTCTCAGAGGGGGGGGGCTGAGCCCCCCTAGCCCCTCCGGCTGATACGCCTGTGCTTATCATCAGTTCCACGCAGTGCAAACCGTCCGACAGTGAAGCTGAAAGTACGCGACTGTGTGAGGGTGGAACTAGGATAGCCTCGTCTCATTTAAAGTATCACCATCGTTTGTCATCATCGTATCGCCGGAGTACTATTCCGGGCATTGTTCAATTATGCTTCTTCAAATTTCGAAACTGCGGCATTCTAAGTCAATCGGGTAGGCCGTAGCGCCAATCCAGGCCAATAAAAGTTGACGAACGGCGGAATTCAACAACATGGTGGCATTTGAATGTCTATACTAGCGCCTTCGATTACACATCACCGTAATTTCGAGCATTATCAATAATTTTGTATGTTTTATCTATTCACTTCCCGTATAAATTTGTGACCTTCGCGATAGGAGTGCGCTCTGGGGGGCAGGAGGGGGGGGGGACGGCCACCTCTAGTCTTCCAAGAGGAGAGTGCAAAGTTAGCCATATGCGTTGATATAATCAGGAGGAAGGCGCTGTGACTAATATTCACCCCACCCCTCCACTAAAGGGCTGAAGGGGCACCCTAACACGCCTGTGTTCATGACACCGGAAAGACATGCATATATACGACGCAGGCTTGCCCGAGAAAGAGAGAGAGAGTAAACTTTATTAAAGAGTCACTCAATTACTTTAGGCATGGCCCGTCGCCCCTAGCTGTCGGCCGGAATCGCTTGGGACTTGGCAGCAGCAAGGGCTTGACTGATGATGTCGCGCTGAACGTTGGGGTCTGGGCTGCGTAGCAGGGCCTCCCAGGATTCTACAGTATGGGAACCATCGTTTTGACTTCGGCATGTCCATTCCATGTGAACCAAAGTCGCTACCTCATCACAAAATTTACATTGGGACCGGAAAACTTCGGGGTTCCACTTGCTGTAAAGTGCGGGGTGTGGAGAAACCCCGGTTTGTAACTTTCGCCACAAAGCCATGTTTTTCTTACTCAGTGAATATTCCGCTCTCGGGTATACTTGCCGATTCAGCCTGTAGTGTGCGACAATTTCATTGTATGTACGCACATCCTCACTTCTTTGTTCGGTAACTTGGGAGGTTCCAGGGGTCAACCGGTAGGTGAGACATCGGGCGACCGAATGAGCCTCCTCGTTCCCTCGAAGTTCCTGGTGAGCCGGAGCACAGACGAGCAGAACAGGCTCTTTGGGTACTCCTACTATGTTTAATATACGGATGGCAGTCTCCGTCACTCTCCCCGATTCATAATTTCTCACGGTTTTTTTGGAGTCGCCGATGGCGACCACCCTGACCCCCTTTTGGCTGATGGCCAAAGCTATGGCCACTTCCTCGGCCTCTACAGTCTCGACACCACGGACTGCGCAGCACGCCATCAGACCACCGAGAAAAGCTCCGCTGATAATTGTAGCTTCACTCTATGGCGGGCCTCGTAAGTAGATCACATAATAGTTTTAACTCGTAATACCACTGTCATGACGGGTTATCATACTGGCCAGCAATGTGTATGTTTCGTTAGTGTTCTCGAAGGCAAAGGGAAGGTATTTCTAACGAAGGTAAACGCCTTGACCTATGTGCGACATTGATATTGCAGAGACCCATGTTGGTTTACTTTCTGCAAATACCGTACTTTACGTAGGCGTTAAAACTCTATTGTCACGACAAGCGCATGAAATCGCATGCATGCCAGCCTGTAGCAAAGAGAGTAGGTGGGGCTCTTTGCTGTATCTTAATATCTTCGATTTTTCCGCGTACACAACAAACACGCTGGAAACCATCGTGGCCAGTTGGCTAGACTAGAGCAAGGGTCTTCTCTATCTTATACGTTTTTGTCTTATACATTTTTTTGGAAGAAACTACGATACAACTATCAGGAGTAAACGAACAGTGTCGCGCTCAGCCCATTCCGAAACACGAGTGACAGCAGCCATGGAAGCATGTCAGGCTTGGATCGGTGGCATTGCCGACGTCGCCACCATCTCCAGCTTCATCGTTAGCCTGTCCATGTCTTGGCGAGTATTTCAACGCAGAAACTCGTCCGGCGTCGAGTTCTTTCCAGTGGCGGCGACGACCGTTTGCCTGCAGGCCTGGATACTCTACGGCGGCGCCACCGGCGACTCGCACGTGATGTGGGTGAACTCTTTGGGTTTCGTCGTGATGATTTTCAACGCCGTCGTGCACCGCACCTTCTCTTCCCGTACGGGACCCGGCTTGTACCTGGCGGTGACGCTCGTGCTTTTTGGGACTGTGTCACTCGCGTCATCCGCGCAGTGGTTGGGTCGTATCGCGGCCGCTTGCGCAGTGGTCTGCAACTTGTCGCCGGTCCGCCGCATCAAGGAGAAGAAACCGCTTCCGGAAATCGCTGCCATGACGCTGGTCACCTGCGGACTCTGGACGGCATACGGAGCGCTCGTCGGGAGTTGGCCGCTGATGGCGAGCAACGGGCTCGGCGCTTTGGTCGCCGCTGTCGAACTTGCCGCGTATCTCCGGATGTGGCGCAGTTGCGTTGCCGCCATGGACGCCAAACTTATACTGACACGCGTACCTGGGGTAAGCTTGCGCGCGTGTTTACATAGCTCGTCCACAACTACCGTGGACCGTGGTCACTTGGCGGCGCTGAAGGTCGTGCTTCAAACTCGAGGAAGGATGTTTCAATCTACAACTGCGGCAGCCACATGGGATCAGGAGAAATAGAAATGTTCTTCCAGTGCGTTCAATAAATTTATGTCAGAGAAGAAGAGGTTTTAAATTGATGTTCCGGCGTGCCAAGTAATATCCTGGTAGCGAGACCCCAGAATATAAATTTTGGACACGATAGGGTTTTAATGTCGGGGTTCGCTGAGAGTTAACTGACGTCATTTCCGTCACGCAAGTGACGTTGTTAAAATGCGAAAACTGGACACATTTTTTTTATTCACATAACCTGCAGTTCAAACCGACCTCTCCGCCCGTGACGGCAAAAACCAGCTGTTCTG